GGTGTTTCTTTGCTAAGTCACCGCTGCAGCTTTGTCGGTCTTCGTCCAGCTCGTATCCCCAGCGGCAGGCACACACCTTGCCGCCCAGTGTGTTCTGGCACTGGTGCTCGCAGCCGCCATTGTCCGTCAGACACTCATTCAAATCTGCCACAGACACACACACAAACACACACAAACACATTCACGACAGCACTTGGCTCATGTTTCTCTCCCTTTATTTGCTAGTGTCCTCACCGTGGCACTTGGTGCTGTCTTTGCCGACGTGTGTAAACCCCGATCTGCAGACGCACTCGTGCCCGCCCAGGGTGTTGACGCAGTAGTGGTCCACATCGCAGCCGCCCCAGCTATATGTGCACTCATCGACATCCTGACAGACAGACAGGCACCCACACACACCCCTTGCAAGCCACCCCTCTGTGTGTATGGTGTCCTCTGGGCGGTCAGCTCACCTCGCAGGTCTTGGCGCGCTCATTCAGGTAGAAGCCGTGCGGGCACTCGCAGTACAAAGAGCCTATGGTGTTGTGGCAGGTCTGGTTGAACTCGCACAGAGCCCTTCCCTCACTCTCTGCCTGGGCGCACTCATTGACGTCTTCGCAGCGGTCCGTCTGTGTGTTGTGTCAGTAGCCGTGCTCGCACTTGCACTCGTAGCCCTTGGGGTGCGCCGCGCTCTTGGGGAGGTTCTGGCAGGCCTGCTCACAGTCGTCCTCCTCGTGAAGACACTCGTCGTAGTCCTCACAGTGCCTTCCGTCAGGTGCCAGCTGGAAGCCCTCGTGGCAGAGACACCTGTGGCCGCCCGGGGTGTTGACGCACAGGTGCTCGCAGCCGGACTGGCCGGTGGCGCACTCGTCGGTGTCTTGGCAGGCGCCTGTGGGTGTCTGGGTGAAGCCGGGGAGGCACTGGCACTCGTAGGAGCCGACTGTGTTGACGCACAGCTCGTTGGGGCCGCGGCAGAGGCTGCTGTTGACCAGGCACTCATCGATGTCTGCGTGTGGCAACATACACACACACACACATAGGCACAGGGGGGAGATCGTTCATTCGTTCGCTACCAGTGCAGTTGCGTCCGTTGGGTGCGAGTTTGAACCCCTCTGGGCAGGTGCACGTCTTGCCCCCATCACTGTTGTCACAGCCGAACTCGCAGTGGTGGCGGTTCCGGGCCATCCCACACACATCCACAACCGCTGCACAGAAACCGAGCCATACCTTGCGTCACATGGACGGACGTCTGGGTGTCTGGGTGGCTTACCGGTGCAATTGGGCTGTGCGGGTGAGGGGAAGGTCCACCCCCTGTGGCAGCGGCAGAGTGCGCCGCCGTCCGCGGTCACCTGGCAGTCGCCATGGTTGCAGTAGAAAGAATTGTCCTTGCAGGGGTTGGGTTTGGGGGGCCGGTGCTCCACTGCAGCCATCCATCCATCCATCCATCCGCAGGCACACATGTGTGTGTGTGTGTGTGTGTCTGTGTGTGGTTACCGCAAGTGAGTCCGTCTGACGTGTCGAGGGCGTATCCGTCGCTGCACGTGCAGCCCGGCTCGACGCCATACGGGGTGAGGTACGAGTTGCAGTGGCCAACCGGCCCCAAACACTTGAGGTTTGAACACCCGTCATCCACTGCACCCCAAACCACATAGAGAGACAGACAGACAGACACTCGTACCCCTGCATGTGTGTGTGTGTGTGTGGGGGGGGGGGGACGTGGG